CTGACTTGTTTTCGTCAGTGGCCGCATCACTCGGATGCTCACCTGTTGTCCTTCAGACGAACCACATACCCTGACCATCGTGTCTACGAGTATTCTGGTGCATCCAAAATTGTGTCCGACACGGAACTATTGCATCTGGAACATGGTCGCGAAGGGAGACCTCGCATATTGGACTTTTCTTCGCCCTTTGCGTCACTCCTAGTTTCTTTTCCTCAGCTTTGATGGTAGACCACAACCAGTCCGCGTCAGACATCATAGCCGGTAGAACGGCGGCATCTAAATGTTCTGTCTGTGTGGGTATGAATAGTTCGTTGTCCAGCAGCGGTATCGGTGCAATTGAAACTTGTCCATGCCTGTTTTTTCCTCTGCTGATCTGTCCGTTGATGTTGTTACTGGAATCCACTGGGTGACCGAGGTAGCGAACTTTTCCATTTCTCTGACCTCACTGAAAATGGTACCCGAGAGACAGTGCTCATTGCGCATCCATTTCGCCCAGGCAATGTGTATCTCCGAACCGATGACGCGTGACTCATTCTTCAGCTGCACAGTCCTTGATTAAAGTTCCACCGTGTCGTCGGCGAAATCGATGACGTCGCCTGAAAGAGCAGGTTGGTGAGCCGTTCTCCACTCCGATGAGGTTAACACCGCTGTCCCAGTTCAGACTCAAAAATAAACTTCAAACCTTTCTCAAACAGTCAGCACAGGACAGATCAGTCTGCACTTGGCGTACTCCTCTTTTGACGTCAATTCAATATGATTCATTGAACAGCTTGATGTCGGTTACGGGGCTTCCATTCGGTAAACACGGGTGAGGTGGCGTGAGGTTGCAGCTGACTCCTAGTGGTACAGCCTTCTTCCTTTCGATAAATTGCATATTCCCCGCCGTTATTCCATTGTACGACATGTTCGACGAGTCTTCAGGCTTTCCGCATGCCGATGAATGCTTCTGACGACAGACCGTAATTAGTCATGAAAATCTTGATGGTATCGTTTCGCCATTGCCGTCCCTTCCTGACCATCACTGGGTCGTAAGTAATCACGGTTCATAAAAATCTGATGCGGTACGCTGCGTTTATGCCTCTGGTATTCTTCCTAATGTAACGTGTTTTTAGCGAGTTTCGTATGCAGTTTGTTCAGGGTGCCAACCTTCGTGAATTACGGCCTTCGTCCTCCACGTGTTTCAATAGCTCTTCGAGATCTAGAAGAGAAGTACCTTGTGAGCTCTTGGTCGCGATGAGGTTTTCATTCACTACACCCTTGAGGCAGTTCCAGCAAATTATTCATATAGTAATTTAATAATTAAAGATAATTTCATATATTGAATAACTAATTCGTTCCTGATGGCAAGTGTTATGGAATTGAAGCTTTAGAATGTTTACGGATCAAAGTCCTAAACCTCAGTCATGCCTGCGCTAACAATAATTGAATCACAAAAATGTTTT